ACAAGAATATATTTCCATGTAGTTGAAGCCATATTTATGGGCATGCTGAAGGTATATTACTGTTGTCTCTACAAATACATTACTAGCATAGCTGGTACTCTTAAGCATTCAATAAAGACAAAATAAGACCTATAAAAATATAAGCAAGCATGGGATAGTGGCTAGAACATCCCTGAAGGAAAGGTGAAACAAAAATACTCTTCCTCTAAATACTGGATATCCTTATAGATCATGGGTCCCCAAACTACAGCCTGCGGGCTGGATCCAGCCTGCCATGCCCATTTATCCGGCCCGCCATAGCTCACCATGCTCACAAGGAGATAGTTTTGGACTTGCTCAGAGAAAAGTATCTCCTTGCGAGAAAGCTGCTGCTGGGCAAGGTGCCGGCTTGCTCGCAAGATCGTTTTGGAGAGAATGATCTCTGTGCAAGCATGCCCCCCCCCCCCAACCCGCACCACCTTGGCGGCCTGCACCCATCACTGGCACCTTTCAACTGGCCCCGTTCAAAAAGTTTGAGGACCCCTGCTATATGTAGATGATGGTTTTCACCTTTACTTTTCAGCATCATCAACAGGCCTGTGCCTATTATTATTGCAGTACATTTATACTCTGCCCTTCTTCCTTTTGCAGGGAATTCAGAGTGGTTTACAAGGTTCTCTTCCTCAATTTTTCCTTACAACAACCACCCTTTGAGGTAGGTAAGGCAGAGCATCCTTGACTGGCCTAAAGTTGCCTAGTAAGCTTCATGACCAAGTGAAGATTAGAACCAGGATTTTCCATGTCCCACTCTAACCACTAGAATGCAGTGCCTCAGGAGAAGCTAGAAGATGGTTGCTTATTGTAAGCTTTCAAAGTGATTTGAGTCTGACTGTGCTGCTATTGGATTCCATGTAACTTTCGGCCCATTAACAATTTTTCAAAATAGCACACTGACACACAGCTGGTTCTAATGTGAGATCTCACCTTTTATTATTCATGAATGTTCCCTAGACCCTCAGAAATATTTTTGGCCTACCATTCACAGGGCAATTTCATCTAGAATGCTAGTCAACTAAAAGACGTCACAAGCGTATTTGTTTACAGAATGAAGCTGCATTTGTCTGGCATTGAAACAATGACCCTTCACTTCCTTTGAACATAGTACAGGGGCCTATTCCAAACAGAGAGAAACAGCAATTTGACTCTGTTTCTGCTACTATCTAAGCTGAAAATCTTCAGGTTTGGCTTCCAACAGTTGACAAAAGGAAATTCACATTATACCATGGTATTAAAAATGCTTTATAAATGGAATTCCATGGCAAAATGATGTCAATGGAACACTATACTGTAAGACATTAAAAACCAGCAATGCCTTTAAATATTTTCCAAAAACCATATATATAATTAACAAAATGGCATTTTCTTTCTATATTTCCACTGATAATCAATTTATAAACCAGTTAAACTTAATTCACAATATCCATTAAACATTTGGTGAAACAATCTAAGCAAATGAAATAGTATATGAATAACAGACGTGAATTTTGTATATCTGATTCAACTTCCAGTACTCTGCCTCTGCACTACCGAATGGCTGAGCTCAAAGCAACAGGCAAGCTATCTATCCTCATCTTCATGTCACTATCCAGGGTAAGAATGGCACAGAGCACACCTCAAATTTTGGCTTCTGATCCAAATTTATTCTACATTTTTCTCCATTCCCCTGAAAGCCACCTCTTTGGTGGATGAGTACACAATAATTCTAATTCACTCAACAAAGTAATATATGGGGGACTATGTGCCATATTTGTTTCAGAGTAGCTTGTTGAATTGTCTGAACCTGGTAGCATGGTTGTAAACTATAAACAAGCCATTCCGGCCAGTTTAGAAAAGACAACAAGCCACTCTGGAAAAAACATGGATCATAACCCACCACAGTAATGGCATGTGAGCCCAGTCAATGTGTGTGAGCATTTTTGTATAGCCACTGCAATGCCCAAGAGCATATGGACTAACTTTCAGGAGTTCCTGCCTTTCTCTCACCTTCACTGTCATGTCCAACTCAAGTATCACCCATCCAATAAAATGAATACATTATCACATATCAGAATTCCTGCAAATTAAGTATTTGTAGACACCACTGATGGCTTTAGTGAAGGCCTGCATAAATTCTTACTTCAATGATTAAAGTAGGCCAATAAAGTAACTACAATAAATTTCACAGAATATTGGTAATATTGGAGAAAAGCTGCATTCCTGATATCTCTCTTCCTTTATTTTTTAAAGGACCCATGCTATTTCACTAATTTCACACAAAAGCATACACAACTAAAAAGGTGCTAAAAGCCACCTAAGTTACTCTAATTGATGTTTTAAATTTTTATTAGTTTGAATAATATTCTACTTTTAAAAATTACACTTTTACTTTATAAATAAATTCAGGAGAAGGAACGGAAAGCAGTCCTAACAATGTAAAATACAAGCAACAAAGTAAACACACACTGATCAATTTTCTATTAAAGTTTAGTAGCAAAAGAAAAATAACTCTGATTTCCACAGGGCTACTCACAATTGTTTCTAAACTCAGTAACTGCATATTCCAAGCTAAATAAAATAAAACAGAAAATAAAACAAAGGATGTTTAACCATATACCTTTAAATGTAAACTCATACTGACGGAGTTTCAATATTACTTCCTGGGTTATTATAAAGATACTACAAAGGGAAAAAAAGCTATCTATAGCTCCAGATGAGGTCAGAGTATTACTCAGCATATGTGCTTTGCGATTAATTTTTTTGAAAACTGGAACTCATTTTTTCCCTTTTCCTGTTTGAATGCTGAGTACTGAAAAATAAAGGATAACTACAAAGAACTTGATCCAGTTTTGAAGAAACTGATTAGATTACTCAATTATCTAAAAACGATTACATGAGCAGAAGGCATTTTCTTGGGAATTCTCCCTGAACTAGTACGATATTCAAGAATAGGAATGAGGCCGAGTTTGGTAGCATGACAAGAATAAACCACAGCAATCCTTTAGACTGCACATTACTCCTTCTCTCTTCAGGGTGGCTGTGAAGTTTAGAATTTTTTACCTGCATTTTGCATTATCCAGTTTGTTTGAACACAGCAAACTGTGGTTAACCTTAACTATACTTAGTGGAAATAAGCCAACTTCAAACCATGATTTACAAAGCTAGTTAACTTCCAGTAACTACAGCTAGGATTGACCACAATTTAGGGTTCTGATATAGCACTAATCTGACTTAATCTAACACAAAAGCTTCTGATTTCCTCACAACCACAGTGGCAGTGAGTAGAACTGTGTGTGAACCCAAGGCTCACTGCAGCTCACTTTAAGAGCTATGTCCAAACACATGAGAGTGCAGATTCAGTTTTACCCTGACAAGCTATAACACATCTATAAATGGGAAAAAAAGCTATGAGGAATTTGCAAGAGGAAATGTAATGAAGACATTAAAGCCTTTTATGCAGCGTAGATGTTTCACAAATGATGTATAATATTAATAAGTTACAATTAATTTTACTGAGTGGCTACTTTTTTGTTTCTGAAAAGGCTGAAAACAAGATTAAGAATTTAATTTTGTTTTTTTTAATGTATCTAGCTTTTACCAGATAGAGAAAAGCATGAAAGCATGGCTAAGTTCAGACATGATGTTAAAGTATTAAAATGCAATTCGAAAACAGACACAGGAAAAGACAGAAAACTAAGTGACTAAGTTACATGCTTTTCTTTTATTTCTGTCTATGTTTGGAAACACTAGTTGTAAACAAGCACTGTTTACATGAGATAAATAATTTGCATGAGATAAAAGAAAAAAGAGGTTGTATGTTAATGCTGAAATTGGAAGACAGTTTCATGGCTTACTCCTACAACTAAATATAAGAACAAGGAAGAAGGTGTAGGTTTTAAACATTTACTTTTACAATAAGAGCACAGGTTATGCTTTTTTTATACTCCTACAACTCTTGTACTTTTTTTAGTACTGATCAGCTGCTCCCTGACACTTCTCATCACTCTTCCAACAAAATTCATGTAATATCTTCCTAGAATTCAGGGAAGGCATGTGAACCCACTTACAGACAAGTAAGGTTAACTTAAGACCATGGAACTTACCTGTAAGTAAATAGGCCTCGCATGGACAGACTGCAATTTTCAGAATTACAACAAACAATAGATACTCCCAATGTGACATCCACAAAGAGGTAGAGAGAGATGTATGCAAGTGGTGTATACAAAATGTAAACACGCTAAATGGACAGAAGTGGGAGTGCATGTTCTTAAGTAATCACACCTTATTCTGAAACACAGAGGTAGAGAAAGGTAGCTCACGGAACAATAGGGCGAATCTACAGGGAGGGTTGGGGAAAATACTTTAAGAAATACTTTTAGCACAGCGTTTTTCTGATCACGTGATCGTTTATTTTCCTATTTACCAGTAGTTAACGAACATATCAGTAGTAGGGCGAAACTCATTCTAGAAAGCGTCAAAAGTTTGCTTTCCAGCTCCTTTGCCTGCTTGCCTCCCTCCCCAGAAAGGAAAGTATGTCTAAGGCCCAAACCCATGTGCCTGTTTGTCTGCAAGGGTACAATCCACAAAACGTACCAAAGTGAAGCCACAGGTTCGTCTCCTAAGTTCAACTGAGGGAGAGGCGCCAAATGTTCTTTCGGACACGGTCCTAACGTACCCCATCCCTAGTCAGCACTGGAGCCCCCCAACGCTGGTGCGCAACGGCGGACCCTCCAACACGCCCTCCAGTTTTCTCCCAGCAGCGGAGGACCCCTGCCTACTCCTGCAAACCGTTCCCTCGAAAATTACCGACCACCTCCCTACCCTGGACGGAATCGCGCCCGACGTTTTCTAAAAAGCACGGCAAAACAGCGGGGCGGCGGCGGGGTGATCCAGAGGCAGCGGCTCCGAGAGCAGGAGCTGACCACCTGGGGCGGAGTGTGGAGCAGGGAAGCAGTGCGCTGGGGTCGGCGGCGCTTTCTCCTCACCTTGGTGGCCATGGTGGGGTTGAGGCAGCGAGTCTCCCCCCTACCCGGGAAAGAGCCTAGCTGGTTGCTCTGCCTGTGGGTCCCTCCTACTGGGCCGCGGCGCTGAGGGAGGAGGAATTGGAGGAGGAGGGCGGCGGCGGCGGCGACGCTGCTGGCTCCCGGGTCTCTTTCAGCCAGCCAGCCAGCCAGCCGCCCTCCGTCACCTCTTCCTCTTCGCCAGCGCCTGAGGCGATCTGGCTGCTCGTCAGGCGGAAGGCAAATCGCTCCTGAACTCACGACAAGGCAAAGTGCAGGCTGAGGGAGCCCCCTACGTTTCCTTTCGCCTGCCTTTCTTTTTCCTTCTGCCTCTTCCTCGTCCGCTCGCCCATATCCAGGGGCGGAGTTTCACGAGGGCGTCCCGAAACCCAGGCGAGGAAAGGGACGGGAAGAAGTCGCCGCCTCGTCAGCCCACCCTGGCGCACGTGACCCTCGCCGTCCGCGACCGACAACTTCGCACACGGCGCGGGGGTCGGTGTGGGGCTTCCCTGTTCCTAATTTTTCTTCATCCTTATCTCTCGCCGCGAAGGTTGCACTGGGGACGCTGCCTAACGACTGCATCACAGACCAAACTTTTCCCAGCAGTGGAAGCATTTATAAGCAGCAGCGTCAAGGTATTCCTTGATTATAACAATATTTGTTGTTTGTTGAGCGCCTAAAACAATGAGTTCTGTAAGGAACGCGTAGAAAAGGCAGGCCCTGCACAGCTAGGCTTTCGATCGAGTGTATTTAATATTACTACTACTACCACCAATAATAGTAATGTCAAAAAGGAGCAAGTGTTTACGTTGTACGTTATTAGAGTGTTCAGAGTGCTTCTATAGCTGCTGTACTAGGGAGTAAGCCCCCGATTGAATGTAGTGAGACTTCTGTATAGGATTTCACTGACATATCTAGGCTGCATTCCCTTTACCTGACTGGCAGTAAGCCCCATCGGACTCACTAAAACTTTCTTCTGAGTAAGCATGCCTTGCATTGTTTCATTTGGATGATTCAGATGCACAATTTGTTGGAAATAAGGCCTATCTAAGGAAATGAACATCTTTTTAGCAAATTATTGGGCTGCTTAGGCCAGTGCCCGTTTAAAGATTTAACAAACTGATTTTGGTCTAATCATTTCCCAAGATGTATGTCACAACAAAGGTGCAGTCCTATGCATATATAGACCGAAAAAATCCAATAATTCCCATCATCCTGGTTGTCTGGGGAATACTGGGAATTGTGGAGAAGTTTTTCTAGCTAAATATATACGGGATTGCACCCTGAATCTGTTTATCTTCAAGACACTGTTCATTTTGCTGCAACATGATAAATTCCTGCAATCCTTACACTAATATCATGTAGTGGATCAATATTACTGTACCTCAGGCTGGGATTTGAGATCTTGGTTCTAGTCTTTCCTTGGCTATGAAGATCATCAGATAGTTTTGGACCATTTTGGCTAGCTATCCAGAATGGGTTGATGGGTCATCATGCTGTCTGAACATAGTCAATAACTGGGAGTGCATTCCTGTGGTTCCTGGGTGAGAATTTCAGGGGCCATAGGTTTGTTCAGGAAATCCCTCTGAGGTCAGAGACAGTGTTCTGACTTGGAGAACCACCCCCAACCTTGGAAGCCCCTGTGTTTAGGGGTTTCTGAGTGGTGAATATGTAGTCCATAGGAGTGAGCCCTAAGGAAAGTAAGAACTAATAACATGTTCCAAATTCATTTCAGTCAGCACCTACTCTAGCCTGTAACAAAAGTTCGGGCATTTTCCACAAATATATATTAAAAGTTATAACTACAAACTATTACTTCTAGGTTAAGAAGCCAAAAGTTGTTCAGCAGTCACACATGTGACTCCTCCCAGGCCTGGGAGTGGGTGTTCTGATGATCCAGGGTAGGCATGGGAGTAGGATGGGATAACTATGTTAAAAGGAAAGTTGTCAGCCTTCACTCATTACATTCAGCCTGTATGCCACAAATTGCTTATCCCTATAATTAACAGCTCAATCCTGGGCAAGGGGACCTTCCTAAGCCTATTAAAATCATTGGATTGAGCTGCATATTTCTTGCTCTTTGAACAAAGGCTTGAATCCATACTAATTTGGGCTTAGAGTGAAACTATTGAAAACAATGGGACAAGTAAATCAGGACTAATAAATGGGACTTTAGTGAGTCTGCTCTCAGCATGATTAAGCCTGGATCTAACCCAGTGGATGCAAAGGACAAATATGATGAACCCTACTTTCTGAACAATCCAATAACAACATGGTGCTAGTTAACCCTGCCATGCATACCAGTTATGTGGCGGCTGGATTTCACTAATTACCCTGCTGGGACAATGTCCCTTGGAAGGCATGGCGTGGTTGTGGGGGCAGTGATTCTAATAACTCACGTACTGTTGTTGTTTACCTCATGTGCTGTGAGGTTAACAAGCCACCATAATTTCCTCTTTGTCATAATGCAGACTGCCCCATACTTAGGTTAACCTCTGCTGCTTTTTTTTTTTTTTTTTTAACGATAACCCTTCTGGTTGGAACTTTTGCATTATAAGTCAAGGATCATTAAGAAAGTGGATGCAACTTCTAAAGGCACAAGCCTAGGTATGTTTAGACAGAAAGGTGTGCTAGAACTTGCAGCATCCCTGTAGCTACTTATGTAGACTGGGGCATGTTGGGAACTGCAGGATATTATAGAATTGTGCCCTGTGACTGCTGTCACCTGTATTTCATCTTGGTAAGGAAGTTAGTCTTTTAATTCCCATAAATTGGGAGAAGTATGCACCTTTTCTTCCTAGATCAATCAAGATGGGAACCCAGAGATGTCCTCCTCCTACCTATCTTTTCTGCAAGGAGTTTGGCAATGTTTGGAAAGCCAACCTTCTACTTAAGTAGCTAAAATGTATCTAGATAGTTAGATTACCATATTTTCCGTGTATAAGATGCTACTTTTTCTTTAAAACATTTACTTAAAAATGAAGGTGCATATTATACATGGGGGGGTGGGAGCACTGGGGGGGGAGACTGGTACATGGGGGGCAGTGCACGGGGGCGGCAAAGCGACATGGGTGGGGGCGGTGTGGGTGGGGGGCAGCGAAGCTATGCACGAGCAGCAGTGGCTTGTTAGTTGGAGATGGGTAGGAAAAGTGAGGAGCGTCCTATACATGGGGGCATCTTATAGACGGAAAAACACGGTAACTTTCTTATTTTTATTTGAAAACCTGTGTATCTGAGAGTGGCTCCCCAGTTCTGGCATTAGAGTGATTATTCAACCTCAGAGCTGGGAATTCAGATCATCCTGTGATCCTCCAGAGGCTGTCTAGGGACCATAGGATTACTCTATAACAGGTTTAGCACCATTTGCCATTAAATCCAGTAGGGATTTTGGTACTTCCTGCTGCCTCTTAGGCAGCCTCTGATTATTATTCAGCTCTTTTCTCATTCCATAAACACTTTCAGGTGTGTTGTACGTGCAAGTCACAGGAAGCACATATAATATGGTAAACACACAACAGTGCAACACATGGTGCCATCATCACATTTTTTAATTTATCCAAAACCAGCTGAAATCATTCAACTTGAGCAAGACAATGATGGCTAACTGGCAGTGGCTTTAGAAAACTATAACAATACATCAGAATGGTAGAGCAAGGCACTTGAGAGGGAATCCTAGAGAAACAGGATTAACAAGATTGATGGATTTTAAATATTCTTACCACCTATTTATTACAAAAGAATCCTAAAGCAGAGTGCAAAGAATAAAACAAAGTAAAACTATACAATATTGATAAAAGGCATAATTAAATAGAGGAAAATGATGCAACAGATCGATCAACTGCATTTGTTACCTATGTAAGCAAACAGGTCTTTAGCTGGGGTCCAATGCCTATAAGTTTTGGCACTGCTTCTATATGCATGAGCAGAGAGTTCCAAAGTCAGGGTCCCTGTGTGAAGAACACTATCTCAGGTTGCCAGATATTAACAACCATGCAAATGCATTGCTATCAAGAGGGCATCCCCATTAGATAATACCTAGGCAGGTACATGATATCCCAGAAGCAATACAGAAAGACAGAGGGTCCTCAGCTCATATGGTTGCTGGTGCTGGTGCTTTCTGGTAAGAATTTTGTCTTTAAAACCTGTGTGAAAAGCTTTGACAGATGAAGCATTTCCTATCGCTGTATCTCTCTAGCTTAAACTATTGGCATTCTGGTTGTTGCGCAGCTGTTAAAAACATAGAAACTGTGCCAATAAAAGAAGTGGCTGCTCTGTGAGATGACATATTTTATTGGACTAATCAGTAATTCAAAGAAGAATCTATCTTACTCAGTATGTATTGTTCATAACAAGAACACTTTTCTTAGTAACAATGCATAGTATTTATTCAAGATTCTTACTCATTCATATCAGCCTATTTAAAACTCTCCCCAAAGGAAACTTCATCATCATGATACTTCATTTTAAATAATATGTTTCCTCAGAGTAAATTTAGTTTTTAGATAGGGCAGCTGTAGTACAAAACCACTTCTTCCTCTTTCATAATGAAGGCGTCTGTTGGTTTGATTATCCTATGTACAGCTGGTAGAAAGACCTAAATACTGGCCTTGATTTAAAGCAATTGGTTTTCTGCATTTTTATACAGTTTTGCAATGACAGCAACTGTACAGAGCCATTTTTAATAACTGACCAACTCAAATGGTATATTTCTTCATTATTTTAGTAGTCAACAATAACCTTCAATTCTTCATTGTAACAACTTACAAAGATAAAAGAACTTTCAAATTTATAAGCATTTATATTATTTATGTATTTATATACATTTATATTAAAAGTAAAATAATTAGGGAAACCTGATATGGAAGAAAGCAAATTTTCAGCCCTCACAAGCTTTTTTCCCAAGCTTAATGCAACCAAAACTTGGATTCTCAAGAAACACCACCCAGACATGTGGCTGGTCCTCAGCAAGAGAATTCTGCTGAACAGGAAGTAGATAGTATCCATGAGCACTGCTGCTTGCCACCACTGCTCACCTGAGTGTGCCACTTGGTGTCATGCATATCATCAGATTTAGTTAACATGTTCAGCTGCAAAATTCACAGAATGACTAGGAGCCAAAAAACTGTCTCTGCTGCCATCATTCTGATTTTTGGGTATTGCCTCCAGCACCCACAAATATGGAAAATGAAGTGGGAGGAGAGGGTCTACAGGAGGAAGCTCAAACTTGCCAGAAAGTTCTACTCATTGACCTAGAATTCCTGCATCTGAATTCCTTTTTGTGGGTCTGAGCTGGGTTATTGTATGTGTAGGAAATGATATCTTTACATGTCTTCTTTATTTTACATCTTCCAGGGTTGATTGAGAAGATACAGAAGAGGTTTTGATGCTGAGCACTGGTTCAAACTAAGTTTTATTCCCCAAACATCTTAATAGAAACAGGTGGTATGCCAGCTACTTATTTCTTCACTGAATTATTATTGCTCAGTAGGTAGCAAAACAATTAAGGTAGGAAACCAGAGGGTGTCCATATGTTCTTCAACAAAATTTAATAAATGAACTAGAAAAACAGACTGTGCATGTGCAATTTACAGGTTTAAGGAAGATGGAAAAAAGGTGAAAAATGGTGGCAATACATTTGTAGAGTCAAGTATAAGCAAATGTTTTGTATCAAAAATGTTTTATTTTAGCAGGAATTATATACAAGGATTTAATCAAAATAAGTTACTTGGGTATCAAAGGACTTCAGTTTTCAGTGAATCATACTATACCTGTCAAAAGTCCACTTCTATGCACATTTATTCATAAATAAGCCTCTCTATGCTCAATGAGAATAGTAAGTTTAGTGAGGTTAGCAAATATAATTTTAAGTATTAATATTTTGCCAAAATTTCTGCTTGCTGGAGCAGATTTGCGGGGGCATTAAGGGGAATTTCAGGGGAGAAGAACGGGTGGGAAAGTCCCATTATACAGGCAGAAGTCCTTTGTGCAGGTATATTTCCACTTAGGTGCAACAAGGCTGTTTGCACATAACAGTCCATTAGTTTAAAATCCAGTAGGTTGCCATGCACAGGTAAGGCTACTACCCACCCACTGCCTCTTCTTTACCACACAACCCAATACTTGTTCCTTCATAGGTCGTGCAGAGTAACGTGTAAGCAGGCAAGTCTCACACCACACAACTGATGGGCTGTCATTTTATCCAGCCTATTTGTTCCATATATACTTATAATTAACATTAAACACAGAATAATGTTGAATGCTCTCTTTTGATTGCAGCGTTCACATTTTATGCAGCCAGATTGAAGAATTAGTGACCTAGACACTTAGGGTACAATTCTATGGCAGCTAGAGAGGGATCTGTCCCAGATTTGACCTTGAAAACATCCTCCAAGTTCAAGGCTGGAAATCTAACATTGGTGCACCCTCCTCTACCTTGCAGCTGGCATGGAAGGAACCATGCCAGTTGCTACTCCAGGGTCAGAAGAGATATGAGGGTGTTTCAGGGGGCAGGAAGGGGAGGAGAGGTGCTTCATCCCAATATGTAATATCCTGGCATCAATTCAGTCTGACCTTCTTGCATGCTGAGATAAAAGACAGCCAAATAGGCTGTCTAAGCCTTTTGCAGAATGGGAGGGGTGTGGGGACAAGCCTCCCCTTTGTGTTCCTTCTGCTCTCAATAGGATGCCCATTACCCTCCCAAGTTCTGAGGATTACAGGCAGTGACTTTGGATTGTGCTGGCCACCACTCACCAGTTCTCAGACATCTTGGTAATTGGGCTTGAAGGCCTGCACAAGCAGACCTGATGAGAAACCAGTAGAGTTTCCATTGAAACTTTTCAGTGAACATAAATATGCCAAATTCTGTGCTGAATTATGACCAAAATCTGAATTATTCATAATGTTAATTCACTCCAAATACTGATCAACAAAAAGAATTTAAAAATTGTTTTTTCACTTTTCTCAGAAGGTAGTCAAATGGCTAAAATTAAAAACAGAGGTACAAATCAAGCTGAAATTGAGCACTTCTATTTTCCATAATGTTGAGGGGAGAAATGCCCATTTCAAATAAATGAATATACAAATATGCTTTACTTTGGATGGACTGTGTCCCACATCTTTAAATCTGAACAGATGGGAGAAGATAGAATGTTTAGACAAGTAGGTATTGAAACTAAGTGACAACAAGGTGAAATCCAGTGGTGTATGAATGGACGTTTGCATATGCAAGAAGACCTTACCTTCCTCTTTGTTGCCTCCACCCCCTCCAGTGTGTCTGCCAACTGTCTGGAACAGATTTGACGTTGAATGGGAAGCTGCAGGGAGATGGGGAATTTCCCACTTCCCATTTCACTGATGGAAACCATTCTATTACGAGTAGCAGGAGAGGTTAGCTAGATTCCACCCAGTAAGTATAAACTTACTGATTTTGAGTTAAGTGGCATTCAGTTTGCCCATTGAGTTTGAATAGTTACTGTATGTTGAGATTTATGTCTGCCTATTTCCAGGGCACATCCTCAGTACTTGGTTAGCAGGGTGGGTAGCCATGGTTTTAGTAACAATACAAATGTATTTACAGAGATGGACAACAAAAATGATTAGGGGCTGCAGCAGCTCCCTTGTGACAACTGGGACTGTTTGACTTAGAAAAAGGCAAGGAAGGAGAGGCATGATAGAGATGTTCAAAATAATGCATGATACGAAGGAAGAAGAGAGGGACATTTTTCTCAGTTTCCCATAACTTTTGAACCTGAGGTCATCACATGAAGCTGACTGGTGGGAGGTTTAGGACAGATAAAAGGAAGTTCTTTTTTCACATAACATATAGTTAAGCTATGGAATTTGCTGTCACAAGAAGTGTTGATAGCCGCCAATCTGGATGGCTTTAAAAAGGGATTGAAGAGTTTCATGAGGGAGAATCCATGGCTACTAGCCTTGCTGGCTATGTGCTAGCTCCTTTTCCAGCCTGCATACACCAGTTGCTGTGCAGGAAGAGGCCTTGCACCCATCCTGCTTGAAGGATCTCGTGGGCAGCTGGTTTGTGTGTATGGAATGCTGGACTACAATGGCCCTCTGGTCTGATTCAGCATGACTCTTCTTACGTTCTCATATCTTCAAGCACACAAATTTGCATTCCAACTTAACTGATAGTATTTGCATGCAGCTCTCTGCTTTTTAGGATTTTCCCTGGAAGCATGCAGGCAGTCAGCACATACAATTTTCATCCTAGCAAGGTTTGGAGGATTTGGGCACACAATATTGGGTTTTGTATTTTTGGCAAAAGCCAAGGAAAGCTCCGCTCCAATGTTATTCATGATTGAACACATCCTGACACATAGTTTATAATAATGTACAGTAATAGAGGTTACTGACTTCAAGGAATTACTAAACAAGTTTGCTTAGGATGTAAAAGTAGGTTCCACTTACACAAAGTTTTGCCACTGAGGTTTTATCAGATTTAAAAAGCTAGCTTTCTTACTTCCATTTCCTATTTTACTTCATGTGAAAGGAAACCCAAAAGACAGTCTATGTCATCATATAACAAAGGAAAAGAGTGAAGAAGCTAATTACAGAACAAAATAACTTCAGTACAAGAGATTAGAACATGTTTGTTGTTTTGGCAGCTAACAAAATGCCTCATTTGAAAGACAAAGTGATATTTAGAGGAAATTGAGACTGGATTTCAAAATTGAAGTGGGCAACACTGAACATTGTCTAATTTAAACACTGCCTGATTTAGGGTGCAATTCCCTCGCTTCCTGACATCACCTGGCAGGATTCTTATAATCTGATAAATTTCTTAATCCCATGATTTTGGAGCTGGGACTTTGTAAACAGAGTCATTGTCATTGTTCTCCCCCTCCCCTTGACAGGCAGCATGGACAGAACTGTGCCAGTTGCCTGCCTCCCAATAGTCACAACAAGGCCTTGAAGATGGGAAAAAAGGGTGTATGGGCTTATGCTGATGCCTTTATCCAGGCCTATTTTCCTTCCCCAGTCCAATGCTTTATACACTGGCATAAGGCAAAGCAGCAGTGGAGATCACTCTGCCTTGCTCCCATCATAGGATGCACACAAGTCTTTAAGGCCACAGGCTTTCATCTATCTAGTGCTCTTAATGGTTGTCTAAATTAGGGCTGACATGTATTTGTTGTTGTTAGTTGCGAAGTCGTGTCCGACCCATCATGACCCCATGGACAACATTCCTCCAGACCTACCTGTCGTCCACCATCCCCTGGAGTCCACTTAAGCTCATGCCAGCTGCTTCAGTGACGCCATCTAGCCACCTCATTCTCTGCCCTCCCCTTCTTCTTTTGCCATCTATTGTTCCCAGCATTAGGCTCTTCTCCAGGGAGTCCTTCCTTCTCATTAGGTAGCCAAAGTATTTGAGTTTCATCTTCAGGATCTGGCCTTCTAAAGAGCAGTCAGGGTTGATCTCTAGGACTGACCGGTTTGATCGCCTTGCGGTCCAAGGGACTCGCAGGAGTCTCCTCCAGCACACAATTCAAAGGCCTCAATTCTTCGGCGCTCAGCCTTCCTAATGGTCCAGTTTTCACAACCATACATTGCAACTGGGAAAACCATAGCCTTGACTATACGCACTTTTGTCGGCAGGGTGATGTCTCTGCTTTTTAGTGTGCTGTCTAGATTTGCCATAACTTTCCTCCCCAGGAGCAAGCATCTTTTAATTTCTTGGCTGCAGTCCCCATCTGCGGTGATCTTGGAGCCCAGGAAAATAAAATCTGTCACTACCTCCATTTCATCCCCATCTATTTGCCGGGAAGTGAGAGGACCGGATGCCATGATCTTAGTTTTCTTAATGTTGAGTTTCAAGCCAACTTTTTGCTCTCCTCCTTCATCCGCATCAAGAGGCTCTTTAGTTCCTCTTCACTTTCTGCCATTAGAGTGGTATCATCTGCATATCTGGAGTTGTTCTGACATGTATAGAGATGGTCAGTTTCTTCTTTCAATACAAATCTTGAATTGGCCAGAGAGGGTATTTACTATCATGACTACTTGTGTCCACAGTGTAGCCTACTTTTATTGGCAGGGGGTTTTTTTCTTCCTAACATTTCCTTCCCTTCCCTAAATCTTGTGGTACTGTAGATCAATGTGTTTGATTAGATTTCTATTACCCTCATTCAGTACTATAGTTTACTCAGACTAATAGATATGTTCATCTGTCAGACCAGGTTAAATTAGTACATTTTTATCCTCTTTTGCTTACCATTCAAGGTGGTAGATGTGTTTTGCTCCTGCCATTTTATTCTCACAACCACCCTGTGAAGTTGGTTAGGCAGAGTGAGTGTGATTGGCCCAAGTAAGGCCACCTGGCCAGTACCCATCAAGGCAGAGTAGAACTCTGAATGCAGCCACCCTGGTCTGAATCTATTCTAGTAACTAGTAAATACACTAGTTATTAAATTAGTTATAATTAGTAGCATATATAATCTTGAATCTCTATGGAAATAACCCAGGGACGCTTGTATGGGAATAGCCAACACTTAAAGCTGAGTCTACCAACCAAGTATCCTAACCAGAAATAGTTTTGCTTATCCAAATATTACATT